GAGAGGATTCGAGGAACAACTAAAGTGGTGGAAATATCGAAGAAAGTTCAGGAGAGAAGATTGCAATGGTATGGGCACGTGATGAGGAGGGAAGACGAGTATATAAGCAAGAGAGTTTTGGATATGGAGGTGGAGGGGAGAAGGAAGAGAGGAAGACCAAGGAGAAGATGGAAGGATTGCGTAGATGGAGATATTAGAGAGAAAGGCCTTGTTGGAGACGAATACGAAGACCGAGGAGAGTGGAAACGTGCTGTCAAAAATAGCGACCCGGTATAGATACGGGAAAGCTACAGAAGAAGAAGACTAATGTCTTATGACAAGTAAAATTGTATTCATTGTTCGCCGCCTTGTAAAATTCGTACACAACATAACAATCATGCATTCTTAAACGTGTTTTGAAAAATAATGTTCTTTCCAACAATAAAAGCGTATTCAATTAACTAGCACTTGATATAGGCCTATGGCTGAAACCAGTTGTGTTTTGTTTTACCTTTTATTTGTAAGGTTATTTTAGATTAAGAAATTTGATTAACTGTATATAAACAGTCGTTTTAAAACTCATTATCTTCAAAAAAAGCACTATGTTACTTAAAAAATGCATTGAAAAATTATCGTTTAATTGCTGATGTTTTCTATTGTCAGAATGTTGTGAACTGACATTTTAAAATGTTAACGGAAGTTGAGACAATTCCGAAAAGTTTTTTAGTTTTATTGTGTTTCTAATGTTCATTATAAAAGTTCGTTTTCTATCTGATAAATCAGTGCATTATTTTCTTATTCTTTTTTTGTAGTTCATATTAACAGCTGTACTCGTTACCCGTTTCATTATTATTATTAGCCTTACACCACTAGAAACCGGACTTCGATATTCGTGGTGGGTAGAGCACAGATAGCCCATTGTGTATCTTTGTGCTTAACTTGAAACAAACAAATTATTAATCTTGCGATTTGGTTAGATGGCTTGTTTTAAGTACTAGGTTATGTTAAGTAGTCGAAGAAATAAATCGATTTCGTTATTATTACAATATCTGGACTTGATTTGGCAATAATCGAAAGAAAAAACTCTCTAAAAAAATTAACCATTCAAACAATGTATTTAATGTATATATTGTGTACATAATAACCGTGTTAATTTTACATATTATTTTACATTGTTGTTTTCAATTCAATTTTAAGGATATTTGTTAAGCACAAAACTACACAATACGCTATCTATGCTATGTCCACTATTGGTATCAAAACCCGAATTTTTAGTGCTATAAGTCCTCAGACTTAGCAATGAGCCACTGTAGGGCATATGTTTTATAATATATCATCTATGTATAATATTCATTGGCACTATGACTTCTTGGTAACATAAATCTCTTTAAAGCATTTAAGAAATTATATTTTTCTATTTTTGTAACCATTGTACTTCAATTGAAGTGCTGTAAATTTAAAATTATATCTATTTTAATCAGCGTAGTGCCTTTCTGAGAGTACAGTTTGACATTTAATAAAGGTTTTTATGATCTAGACTCTCAAACTTTTTCGTTTTTTATTTACCTTTTTTAAATATAAAGTCAAAACATATATGAAAAATAAATGAAAAACATTCTTGATTGTGCAGATTATTAAGACTTTATTAAAATTATGTATGTTTTTATGGTAATCTAGGTGTAGGTAGCACCACAATCGTTCGAAATTTAGGCGAGTCATTTAGTTGACTTGTTTTAGTTAAAGGTAACATTAATTTTTATTTTACTGTTTTCGCAGTTATATTTAGCTGTATTCTAGTAGCAATTTCATCATTCATTGAATTTGAAATATAACGGATTAGGTCTAACTCCTGGAGTCAAGTGAATCGGCAAATTTGTGGGTAATCATGCCTTCTTCACATTTACCAGTTTCTAATGTTGTAGTTCATCCATTAGTATTGCTTAGCGTTGTAGATCATTTTAACCGAATGGGTAAAATAGGAAATCAGAAACGCGTTGTGGGTATTCTCTTAGGTTCATGGAAAGGAAAAGGAGTATTGGATGTATCAAACAGTTTTGCTGGTAAGTGAAAAGTTGATTAAACTTGTATTATGTTTAATGTCCTTGTAATTCTTTTCTTGTATTGCAAATAGTTTTTCACTTTCAGCAAGATGCAACTTTTGGTTTTATGATATATAATATGGTATTGGATATAATTATGAAAACAGTTAAAGAAATGGGCATAAAATGCAAATATTATAGAATTGCTTTGTTGATAGATGATAGTGTTCTAGTCTGTCATTCAACCAATTAGACAGCACCACACCAGCATAATGCTCATACAGGTATAAACAGCTATTTTAGATATTCCTAGCAGTAGTGTGGAGAATGCACTCCCAGCTTCCAGGACAGAAATGCAAAGGTACTCAAATTGAAGTGACATATGTTTTAGCATGAGCTTTATAGAAACTCAGAAGATTGAATGTAGAATTTATTGTGATCAAAGTAAAAATTTAAAATTGACTGACTAATGGAGGGTTTTCTTTTTGTATGATTAATCAGTAGGAATCTTGACAATGACCTAACTGAACATACAGGTGTGAATGTTTCCTCCTGAACAGTAAGATACATATTAGCATATAGTGGTTTTAGTGGATCTGTACCTGCTGAAAAAAAAACATTGTTTAGGAGTGATAACCAAACCAAAAGGCTGAAATGGGCAACAAACTACAAGCAGAGAGGTGAAAAAACTGTGGGAAAGTGCTCTTTAAAGATGGATCCAAATTCAAATTGTTTGGCAAATGATATTTTGTTCAGTGACAGAAGGGAGAATGGTATAGTAGTCAACTTGCAACACTCACAAAGAAGCATGCTGGGAAACCAGTACAGGTGTGTGGTTCATCTCAGCCATTGGTGTTGGAAATCTACCTCAAATTGATAATACTGTGACAACTAACAAATACTCATCCATAATGTCATTCCCTTAGGATCTGTTGGGCAGGGATTCATCTTCTAGCAAGATAATGATCCCAAGCATGCAACAACAAAAAATACCTGCAAAGAAAAACAGCGGCCAGTGGAAAACTTGCAACCATGTCTTGACCTGTGCCAATATTCCAGTATGAATACTATTAAGACCGCGGGAGCTTAAAAGCAGTGGTGGGAACATTAACTAATCTGCAGGCTACATGTGTGGACCTCAAGGGCTGAAAGAACCCCCCCTTTACTAGTCACAAACCACAAATGATACATTTGAATAGAAAGAAAATGAGCTATATATTAAACATACTATAATTGTAACAGCGTTTCTCTGACAACTTGTACATCTTTCAAAAGTATTTCCTAAGTTTAAAACAGTACATTCAAGTGATGTTTCAGTTTGATTGTTTTAATTATGATGTCTTTCATTTCATATTTGCAAGTATAAGGATACATAATGTAAAATTTTACAATAAATTAGAAAATATGAAACTGACGACATAAAGCTTTCTGGAAATTCATGTCAGTTAACTAGTTATATCTACCAAGGGTACATGAATCCTTTGTTTACTTTTTAATTCCACTATGGCTAGCACTTTTGTAAGTAACATACCTTGTGTCACAGATATAGCTATTCTCATTTAGTGCTGCCCTCTATATGCAAACATTTTTCCATGTGTCACAAGTTTTGATCTCCCACGTACTCCACGATCAATGTGGTTCTACTGTGTATCACATGTAAATCATCAAGCGACAACCCTCCATCAATAGGAGTGCAACACACTCTCCTGATGCATGTGACTCCCTCTGTTCAATAACACTGAACTATTACTTCTCATTTGGCAGTTTGTTCTCTCATTCCTTTTTTTTTTTTTTTAGTTTTTAATTTCAATACAAAGTGAAAATATTTTTCTATGTTTTTTATTCCTATATCAATTTAACAATTTTAAGTGATCACTTACCTTTATTGTTCTTTTTTTTATCTTCACTGAAGTTTTATGTTTTCATTTTGAAAGTGATCTCACTTACTTCCAGCACACTTACAGGGGAATTGTCAGCTTTCATACGTTGGGAGATTGATCGTTATACGAGTTGATCTTTATCAGGTCTCGAATTTGTAGGCCCACACATTTTGACTATGGTCTGCCAACTTTGGATAAGCTGTTATAGATTTTGAATATTTTTTATCTTAATATAATTATTTGGTGTTATTTGGATTCAGTAACGTAAGTTTAGTTAGATTTGTAAATACTTATTGTAAGGTTAGGGTTTTCAATTAGAGAACTTAATGATATCCATTGTATTACAACATTTTAGACTTACCTGTCATTCATTTTACTGGGAAATCATAAATTAGGTTAATTATACTGTTTTCTTCAACAAATACCCTCTAATAAATTTTATATTGTCAATATTATATTATATACTTGATTTTACAATATAAAGAGTATTTCCTTTTTTGTAATTATTTATATTTTCTACTTCTTACAATTAATTGGATTTATGAGGACCTCTAGGGCTGTGGTCCACACAACCTTCTCCCAATATTGTTTGCCTTGCTCCTAAAACTGCTGAACCTGTTCAGGATGACATAGATTTTGACATTTTTCCTCTACCTGATTATGCCTTGTTTTCCAGACCTCTCCTACGAGGTCTGCTAGGCCTACCTCAGCCTTTTTTCTTTTTTTTGTAGACATATTTTACTGTAATTTTTTTCCATTCCTTCTCCATACATTATGGTTCATGCTGGGCTCTTTTGAGACATGGTGCTTTCATACCTTGCCTTCCATGGCTTTTGATTCATTTTGCCTTAGCTTACCATGAGGCAGATTGTTTTTTGTGTTCTTGATTCTCTGCACTTAGAATCTCCATTGCTCTTTTTATCCCTCACCAAATTTTCCAGCCTTCGTCTTCCTCTATCAACTCTCCTACGAGAATTGTTCACCATACACCTCCATTTTGAGGAGTTCCACCTAATTTTTGTGGGATACCTTCCCCCCTCCTTACTTCTACATTGAGGCAATCTTTGGCTCTTTCCCTACACACATGGCTTCTTTGCTTTTGTGATCTTCTGAGATGGGACATTGTTTTGTACCAAGTTCATTTATTGTCTGCTTCTACTTGGAACAGCTCTTTTTCTCCACAGGTCCATTTTTGGGGGGATATCCCTGTGACTTTAGTGTAATGTGGAGTATTTTGCACCATTCAATTTTTCTTTTTTGGTTGTTTGTTTGTCTTATTCTGAGCCATTGTATTCGTTATTCATGTTGTCTTATGTTTGGCATCTTCCCATCATTTACCTGACCTACCTCTAAGGGTTCCTCCATTAGTCGTGTATTCTCAATGCTGATTGGAGTTCTATAATTGATCTTTCCTGCCTCAATCACTTCTTGATTCTTTCCCATTTTACTATGTTTTGGTTTATCACACTCTGGTGGGCCATTTTTCCAGGACTGAGAATGCCCAAGGTAGACATTTCATATTCTTACACCCACATTCCTATTTTTCATCCCTTATTACACTATCTTAGGTTTTTTCAACATGGAGTTGGTCACCAGTTTCGCACCTTACCCTTCAACCTTGTTTTGTATCTGTTAGTCTTTTGTTGGGTAGTCGGTTTAACCGCCTTCAGCATGATGAATGATTGTATTTATACCACAACTTGGTCATCTGGCTTCTGTTAGCTCATTCCATACTGGAAATGTCACAACATACTCATCTGCTTCTTACCTACACAGCCAAAATTGGTTAGATTTTCCAGTTGGAGAAGTCTTTCCCATTATCTACCCAACATTGTTGTCTTTTGGGGGTGTCTTACTTCTCCTCTTTGACTGATTTTGATGGAGATTTCAGTTATCCATACCATTACTGTTAACTGTCTTATAGTAAGCAAGGTTCTATCATGTTGGAGGATGTAACTTCTATGAAAACACTTATCTCCTTGGGTTTGGCACATATGCAATCTCTTCAGGGAATGTTGGAAAAACCATGGAATCATGATAGAGTTCCTGTGGATTCCACACATAACTTTCCTCCTTCCCTCTTCGATGATATTGGTGGTTGAACAAAGCCCCCATGTTGTCAAAACCATTTCATTCCCCTTGTTTGGATTTGTTTCTCTTCCCCAATACTTACCTTCAAGTTTTTATAGGGGGGGGGGGGGCGATGGGTCAATCAGTGTGAGGTTTGAGGACAATGGTATATGGCTGACAGGTCTTACCATGTTCATGCTCATAACTTCTGGCAGTCCAACTTGCTTTGGTTCACTTTCTTCCTCTTGTCAGGATTCAACTAATCATGATCCATTCTGACAATTCAACGGTACTTGCTTATATCACTCACCAAAGGGGTACCCATTCTAGTTCCCTTTGTCGTCTACCATGGATCTCTCTTTTTGGGCCCACATGCTTGACTTATGTCTCCCAGAGTGTCATGTCCTAGGTGCTTTCAACCTTTTTGTGGATCACCTTTCCAGTTCCGACACTCTTTATCCAATGAACTGGCCTCTCGATCCTCAAAAATTTCCAGTGGCTCTGAGTCTAGTGGGGTATACCTCAGTGGGATGCATTTACTTCTTTCCTTGATTCCAAGTTACCTCATTTTGTTGTTTGGTCTACAGTTCCTCATCCACTCACCCTAGCTGTCTATGCATTTAGACAGGATTGAGACAAATTTTTATTTTATCATCCCATCCACCATCTTCCCTAGATGATTTCATTCATCCATGCCACTCTGTGTCAATTCGTTCTGATTGCTCCTTCCTGGCCAGCACAGATCTGATTTTCTTGGTTGATTTAGCTCAATCCATTCTTTTTGTTGATTGATTTTTCCTAATATACACTTTTGACTCATGTGGTGTGTTCTTCCTTTTCATCATTTTTGTTTCCTTTCATCTACTCCTTTTATTCCGAGTAGGATGGCTTTATATGTTCTGTACGTGCTCTTAGTTGCTTGATTGTCTTCAAGGCTTCTGTTTGTTATTTCCCTTTCACCACACTTCTGTTTGTGACTTTTTCCTTCCTCCCTTCCCAGCTGGAATCGGCTTTTGATTCAATTGTTGTTTATTTTTCTTCCTTGTCTCCTTCTTCCCTTAATTCCTGGTG